CTGGTTTAAAGAATAACAATGTCTCCGACAGGAATGAGTCCTCTATCCATTTTTTTCCCCATGAGAGAAAGCGTATTTATAGCCAATGCATGCCACTACTTTTTTTTTTTCATGGAAATTACGTCTCTTGTTGGGACTTTTACGAAACTGTAACTGCTAGCTTCAGTTTCGTACTCGAAACTTAAACAATAGTAAATTTTGAATTAAGTTATTTTAACCGGCATTTTTTTCTTCACATTATAAACTTTATTCTTTAGCGGATATACGTATACGTATCAATAACAACCTACCTACATTGAGAAGGCCTATTAATGAAAGATTGTGCTCCCAAAATGAATCAATAGAACGAGTTTCTAAGTTACTATCAGGCAAGCTGTTTGTATGGAAGATCAAACTATTTCCTTACATAATCTACTGACATCGTAGGCCAACATGAAAAAAAAATAGGAAGCATTATTTTCGGAACGAGTCATATTTAAATATATAATTTTTTTTTTTTGAGAGGTGGCGAGTGTGTATTATCCTTCCTTGAGGACATGTTCTCAGTTTTATAGCGGGTCATATTCCGACTATAACTTAAGTCATCGAGATAATCTATATTCGTTATGCGATGGATAAATTGTCGTGTGAATGACGTAAAAATGAATATAACATTGACATCTCATTGTAACAGATAGATTTACCAAAATGAAAGAAAGATATCTGGAAATACTAAAAAGTAAATTTATTCCATAAAATCGCCATTGGCTTCAACCGCGGCCTTCAGATGACTTTGGAATCTACTGCAACTCTTCAGGGCGGCCTCCTTGTTCAAGTTGGAGAACACTGCCATAATCCTTAATTTCAATTCGTCTTTGGTGTTACATGGAGATTTGTTGGTGTCTTGCTCAACTGCGACTCACATATAATAATCGATGGGTTGCAGATTGAGGAGTTAGGAGGACAGTGTTTATTGTTCATAGGGCCAGATTTTGAGAAATAGGTTGTGCTGAGAAATTTTCAGCACCTCCTCATATTTATCATTGTTCACTTACGTTTGGTTCTATGGCCATTAAGTTTCAAATGACATAATCCTCTTGGCTCTAGTTGAGCAGTGTGTACACTGAACTTTGAAGCGGTCAAAGGATAAGTCGTTTGAACTTTTTTTAATTGACTGACGACTGTCGCTGTAATCATCGAGAAATACGTTAAATTGAAAAAGTTTTAAGATTTCGGAAGATGATAATGATTTGTAATACTATTCTTTCTATCTATCTATCTATCTATCTATCTATCTATCTATCTATCTATCTATCACACTTAATTCATATATATATATATATATATATATATATATATATATATATATATATATATATATATAAAAGGAAAATTGTATTCTGATGAATTGAATCGTGTTTAATTCAAAAGTAAATTGTAGGTCTATAGAATTTATCGTGTTTATGATTCCAATATAATAAATTATAACTATAGATATTTAGTGTTTATAACTTTTAGATACTATATTCTTACTCTGTCTTAGACACTCAGTTCTACCTGGATTCTATCCTCTTGGGAATTTATATATATATATATATATATATATATATATATATATATATATATATATATTTATGTATAAATATATATATATATATATATATGTGTGTGTGTGTGTGTGTGTATGTGAGTGTGTGTGTGCGTATGAAAAATGAGTGTATATAAATATAAATATATATATATATGTGTAATATATTATATATATTATTATTTATATATTATATGCGCGGTACTTATTAGAAAGCGCTCAATATCACAGATACAGCTAACATATTTGGTTAGACTGATGTGAGTTTGTGACCTTGGGTTTCACGCTTTTGCGATCGTTAGACAAACAAGTTTGTTGACCGTGAAACACACACACATATTTATATATATATATATATATATATATATAATGGCACACACACACACACACATATATATATATATATATATATATATATATATATATATATATATATATATATATATATATATATATATATACTGATATTATATATATATATATATTTAAAAATCAGAGGTCAGTTGAATCCACTACCTCAACTGACCTCCTGATATTTAAAGACAAATGCTGTCCATCTTATTTATCTAGTCATTTCACACGTGTATTGAGCACTTTTTAATACTACTGTTTCCTGATCTGATTCAAATGTCACCGTTAACCTATTATGTGTTTATGCATGTATATATATATATATATATATATATATGTGTGTGTGTGTGTGTGTGTGTGTGTGTGTGTGTGTATCAGTCACACTTTGTTAAGATCTATTTCAGTCTGATCTGATATCTCTCGCTTTCTCACATTTGTCTCTCTTACTATCTGTCCTTCAGTCGTACCTTGTTCGTATCGATTTCAGTCTTTTTCTGATCTCTGTCATTGACCCTATCTATCTATCTATCTATCTATCTATCTATCTATCTATCTATCTATCTATCTATCTATCTATCTATC